CCAACTTTGGGCTGGACGATGGCCCCATGGAAACATGGGTGCACACAAATAGTCCAACAAGACTGTGGGTGGCTGGCACAGGGAGGAGTTTAGCATGCAGGGATCTGCAAGAGAGTTCTAGAAAGGCTGGGGGCTAGTAATAGAGGTTATGATTTGGTTATTATTTCCTTTTCCATATCCCAGTCTTCTGAGAGGACAGAAAACCTCCTGCTCCCCTGGGCAGCAGGGAAGAGGTGGCAGTCTGGGGAGGAACACTGTGCTGTGCTGGTCCTGGCTGGGCCATGAGAAGCTGGAGCAGGGAGCTGAGCACATGTGCTGTAAACATGCACAGTGGTGATTTAGAGGCAGCAGTGGTGGGCCAAGAGAAACCAAATTTATCAGACTGATGGCCTGGGAGCCTGACTCTATTCATGGCAAAGTGAAAAGAAAGCCCATTTGTTTTTGTCTAACAACCTTGTTTTCCCCTTTTCAGAAGAATCTGACGGAGCTGAGGTCCTTTGGGTCACCCCCTTCAGCTGTCAGCAATGTCACCGCAGCCGTGATGGTGCTGACGGCCCCGGGAGGAAGGCTTCCCAAGGACAGGAGCTGGAAAGCAGCCAGAGTCGCCATGGCCGGGGTGGATAGCTTCCTGGACTCCTTGATCAAATTCGACAAGGAGAACATCCACGAGAACTGCCTCAAAGCCCTTCAGCCCTATTTGCAAGATCCTGAGTTCAGACCCGAACTGGTGGCCACCAAGTCATACGCAGCGGCCGGGCTCTGCTCCTGGGTGGTGAACGTGGTGCGGTTCCACCGCGTGTTCTGCGACGTGGAGCCCAAGCGGCAGGCGCTCAGCAAGGCCAACGCCGAGCTGGCGGCTGCCCAGGACAAGCTGGCCAGCATCAAGGCCAAGATTGCTGTAAGTGCTTGCCCTCTGGTGGGACCCGCCACCATAGTCACTGCCTGGGGAGAAATCCTCTGCTTTGGAGAAAGCTGCTTCTCTGCACTCATGTGTTTTTGAGGTCGGGGTGGGAATCCAGAGATTCAGTAGAGTACAGCCTTCTCTGTCCCTTCTGTTGCTGCCTAGACTCACAGAATCATTTTGGTTGGAAGAGACCTTTAAGATCATCGAGTCCAACTGTTAACCCAGCACTGCCAGGTCCCCACTGACCCGTGTCCCGCAGCACCACATCTCCACAGCTTGGAAACCTCTCCAGGGATGGGGGCTCCACCACTGCCCTGGGCAGCCTGGGACAGCCCTGGACAACCCTCAAGGGCAAGAAATAGTTCCTCATGGCCAACCTAAACCTCCCCTGGTGGAACTTGAGGCCATTTCCTGTTGTCCTGTCACTTGTTACTTGCTTCCTACATTTCATCAGGAGGCTGGTTCAGCATGCTGGTAGCATAGAGCTGGGCTGGGCTGACTCAGTCCCTGGCCGTGGGCATGTTTTGCAGGATGGTCGCTGCTCTAGTAGGAGCCTACTAATTTGTCACAGCATGGCTCCCTGTCAGCATGTTGTGTGCATCACCCTTGGTTTCGCTACTTAAAAAAAAAAAAAGAAATTACTGAATAGAAGAAATTACTGTGTGATTAAAAGTGCTTTTCTTCAGGGAGTACCTTCTAGCCTTTCTCCTTTTCCTGTGGAAAATTATCTCTTCGTTAACAGATGTGCTCTTTTTCCCCCTCTTCCCTCCCTGGCCCACATCCACTGATAGTAAAATGTAGAAACCAGCCTGTGGGACCCCACCAGCTCAACCCTCGCTCTTCCCCAGGTCTCTCCCTATGCAGCAGCCACTGCTTGCCCTCCCAAACCTGCCTTTTTTTGAGGTGCTGGATCTGGGATCCCTCTTCATGAGTCCTCTGTGGCTCTCCTCTCATCCTGACACCGCAGTTGGTGCAAAGTCCCCGCTAATAACCACAGTGTGTTGGTGGCTGGGCTGACACGTTTGTCCTCAGTGAGTGACTTTGAGATATGGGCCTGGAGAAGGGCAGCACAGTCCCTCCAGCTGAGCTCTTCCCAAGCCTCTTCTCTTCCATCAGCACGTCTTTGTCTTAGAGAATACATGACTCTCTTGATGCCTTCTAGGGCTTATTATTCTTAAAACACTTACTGCAGTTTTTAACTAAAGCCAGAAGAAAATCTCCAGAGCTCTCCAGTAGCAACTTCTGCTGCAGATGAAAGGAGGGCAGGCACAACATCTGAGGCAGGGATGGATCTACAGGTCTTTTGCCTCTAATTCCCCCATCTCAGAAGTGAAATACGGTGCTGGGGAACTTTTTTCATCCCTTTATGCTGCTCATTTCCAAAGCTTTTAATGCTTGAGTTTTATTTTTTTCTTTGCCTTTTTTTTTTTTTTTTTTTTTTTTTTAAAGAAGTGGGATTTTGTTCAAGAAAATTGCAATCTTTGGGGAGATTATTTGTACTCCCCTGGCATTCACTCACAAAACTGGCTGGTTTAGGTAAGTTTGCCCCTTTGCAGATGGGTGATGACACACTGGAGCGTGGGCATGGATGTGGAGATGGAGCCTTGCTTATCAAACTAGGGTATCTTGGATAACTTCACTGATGTGAGGTTGATTCATACCTGCTCACAGCCAGTCCCCAAGCTGCCCCATACCCAATTTTAGTAAGAAATGAGACTATTCTGATTGTTTGAAATCCCAAGTGCTTTTCCCTTTTGTCTGCCTGGGAAATAAGGTTGCTACAAATTTGGGGAGGGTAGATGTAGAAGCAAGGTGTACATTCCAGGCTGCACACAGATATATTTGGGTGTTACTGCAGAGTGTGGCTGGTGGGGTAGTGCTGATGAGATCTCCAGAACTCAGACAGACTCATTTATCAAACTCTGTTTCTGTAATTGAATTTCATATATATGTGTATGTAGACACGTGCATTCCTATGCACGCAGCAACAGAAACTTCTTGTGTCATCAATTCTAAGGCAGGTTGAGGAGAGACCACTTTGTGTCTTTCAGTATCCAGGAGAGCTCCAGATATCCCTAATATAATCCTTTTTCATTTTCAGGTTTGTTTCTAGTGTGTAGCTCAATGTTAAAGTGGTTTACCAGCAGTTTAGCCTTAAGCAGTTTTCATTGGGTGCAGCTAAAGTTGATTATTACTTCTCTTATCAGAAGTGAAATGCTCCAAGTGCTCGTGGAAGATGTTGATTTGTTTTAATCCAGAGTGTGAACAGCTCTTTCCGAGCAAAGGCCTCTTTTTCTTCAGGTGATTTAGGCTCTTTCTGCCCCTCCTCAGCAGTTTGCAGCCACCCTGCATGTGAGGTGGTCCCAGCTAGTGCTGGTTGGGCTCCTTTACAAGAGTGTCCTGTGTCAGAACAATTTTATTGACTTATTTGTTATATTCCCTCTAGAAACAGGGTGCTGGAGCTGTGGCTTGGAGATAGTTCAAGAGCCACCTCCAGCTGCTTAGGGGCCCGCTGGGGATTTGAGCACAGCTTGGTGAATCAGCAGAGCTTCAAGGGCTGGACTGAGTCCAAAGGGGCTGCAGCATCAGGAAAGAAAGTTCTGTTTTCTTAGCTGCTGGCTCATTGCTCAGCCATAGGTCAACAGTAGTTGGCCATAAGGATGCCCTTTCCCAGTTTAAATTCACACCAGGGCAGAGCCCCAAAAAAGTGAGGTTTGTGTGTTCCTTGCCTCTGCCCTGTCCTGAATGTTGTGGTGGAGTTAAATCCAGTTGGTGGCCAGTCACAAGCAGTGTCCCCAGGTCTCAGTTTTGGGGCCAGTCTAGTTTAACATCTTTGTCAATGATTTGGATGAAAGGATTGAGGCACCCTCAGTAAGTTTGCAGATGACATCAAATTGAGTGGGAAAGTTGATCTGCTTGAGGGTCAGGAGGCTCTGCAGAGGGATCTGGACAGGTTGGATTGTTGGGCTGAGGTCATTTGTATGAGGTTTAACAAGGCCAAGTGCCAGGTCCTGCACTTCAGTCACAACAGCCCCAGGCAATGCTACAGGCTTGGGGAAGAGAGGCTGGAAAGCTGCTCCTGGCAGAAAAGGATCTGAGGGTGCTGGTGGACAGTCAGCTGAACATGAGCCAGCAGTGTGCCCAGGTGGCCACGAAGGCCACCAGCATCCTGGCCTGGATCAGGAATAGTGTGTCCGGCAGGAGTAGGGCAGTGATTATGCCCCTTGACTTGGCACTGGGGAGGCCACAGCTTGAAGACTGTGTCCAGTTCTGGCACCACAGTGTAAGAAAGACCTTGAGGTACTGGGGCAGGTCCAGAGAAGGGCAATGAAGCTGGTGAGGGCTCTGGGGAACATGGCTTGTGAGGAACAGCTGAGGGACCTGGATGTGTTTAGTCTGGAGAAGGGCAGGCTGAGGGGAGACCTTATTGCTCTCTACAACCCCTTGGCAGGAGGTTGGAGTGAGGTGGGGGTTGGTCTCTTCTCCCAAGTAACCAACAATAGGATGAGAGGAAATGGGCTGAAGTTGTAACAAAGGAGGTTTAGGTTGGATATTAGGAAGAATTTCTTCCCTGCAAGAGTGGTGAAACATTGACCCAAGCTGCCCAGGGAGGTGGTGGAGTCACCATCCCTGGAGGGGTTCAAAAAATGTGTGGACGTGGCAGTTGGGGAGATGGTTTAGTGGTCATGGGAGTGTTGGGTTGATAGTTGGGTTTGATGATCTTGGAGGTCTTTTTTAATCTTAATGATTCTGTGATGTGTGAAGATGTGAGTTACGGGCAGGTAAAGTCACTGCTCTGTGCTGGCTCCTGAAGCCAGGACACTGCAGGGGCTGTCCCCTGAGCTTGCCTGGGCAGGGTGAGCTGTGGGGGTGTTCACCCAGCCCTGCCTGCAGGGCCAATCAGCTCTAGAGGAGGATTTCCCTGAAAACTCTGCTTCTGCTTTTCTTCCCCATGCAGCGCCTCAATGAGAACCTGGGAAAGCTTACAGCCAAGTTTGAGAAGGCCACTTCAGAGAAACTACAGTGTCAGCAGGAGGCTGAAGCTACAGCGAGCACCATCGCCCTTGCGAACCGGCTGGTGAGTGCCCGCGGGCGCAGCTCAGGGGAGGTTCCAGGTGCTGCTGAGACCTGGCCCTGGGCACACGGCACGTTACACCCTCAGGGGTTTTTGGGTTACGTTTCCTGCAGCGCAGTGAGTTTCAGCGATGAGGAGGGTTTTGCATTGGCTGTTTCCATCCGTCAGGCACGGGTCACGTTTAAAGAGGCTGGCTGTGCTCTCTCCACACCTCTCATGTCCTCTTGTTACTTCAATGCGTGATCAAGTACTGGTGGGCTAAAACTACATGACCTAAAAATTTCATCATGAAAACAAAGGTGGGAATATGCCAGTAGCTTTGCAGGGTTTGAAATGACAAAAAGTTGCTAATGAAAAGCTGTAAAACAGCAGTGCCTGTCCCAGTACTGCTTCAGAGAGAAGAGACTGAGAGTTGGGGGCTTCTGTTCAGGCTGTCCTGTCAGCTGGAGCCCCAGCTCCCACCCCAGGCTCCATTAACACTTTGTAGTTTGGGTTCTACACTGGGTGCAAGCTTGGAGCAGGCTGGTTCTTCCTCCAAGCAAGGAAGCAGAGCTGCAGGAGACTGCTCCGTGCTTGAGCAATGCCCTGGCAGATCATGGGGCTGGAGCTGGTTCTAGCAGCTGGCTCTGCTGACCCCAGCTCACCCTTCAGCACACAAAGGCAGCACTGATGTTGTCTGGACGGAGAGCCCCAGTTGCTTTATGCTTTTAAACCATCTGACTCACCGTGCTAGCAGGGAAGCTGCTCCAAGAGAGTGTCCTTTATCCAGGGATGGACATTGGTCTGACTGAAGCTGCTTCTGCTGGTGGGACTGGTGGCAGCTCAGTCAGAATACAAAGGTATTTCTGGAAGTGATGCTGGGTGCAGGTTTCACTGCTTGTTTTGCAGGCTTGTGGCTGTGTTGGGCTGTACTTTTTGTGTGAAGTATCTGTTTACATCAATCCCAGTGTGGACAGAGAAGAGGAAGGTAGTCAAATGGTTAAGCTTTTAGCCTGGGACATGGGGAGTTGTGCTCAGTTCTCCAGTTTTTGCCATTTCCTATCCTCAGACCTTCTTGGGTGACCTTCAGCAAATTGCTGTAGCCTGGATTTTCAGAGCTGTTTAGACTTCAGGTGGTTTCTTTGTAGGCATGTGAAAGGGCTGCATTCAGTGGGGCACTGAAGTGCTCCCAAGGACTGTACGATGTACCTGTTGCATGCTTAGGCAGTGCGAAACTTATGAAAAAAACCTTTACTTTTTAATCCCTGCCTCCTTTGGACACCCCAGTGCAGCACCTTTGCTTTGCACCATTTGCTTTGCAAATGCAGTCAGGCCTGTGATACACTCAGATGAGTGGGGTCAAGGGCAAACAGCAGGGAAGTCCTTCCCTATCTTGATTTAGATTTCTTTTTTGCAACCACCGAAGGGGTTTTATGCTTTCATGTTCTTCAGGTTAAGTCCCTGAATGCTGAATCGTCAGAACCTTTAATTAGGACAGGAAAGTACCTTTTTCATTTGAAAGAACCGTTTGTATTTTTGGGGAGATTTTGCACGATGAGTA